GAACAACTAAATGTGTAAACTACGCTAAGTGGTGTAGTGTGGGATTAAGAGCATGGTCCTGGGCGCACACTGCCTGCAATGGAATGGTCACTTTGCCACTGACAAGCTAAGGGGCCTCACTTCTTCTACAGAACAAGGATGTTAGTAGCTACCTCTAAGTCTGTTGGGAGGATCAAATGAGCACCAGGAGTATGAGCTTTTGTTATCCCTTTCAACTCTGTGAAGCTCTGGTCAGACCTGTTACCTATTTAACATCAACAGCTTCAATGAGTACATTGGAGTCCCAGGGGTTTTCAACAATTCCCTCTATTTTACAAAAAATGAAATAGATCTCAGAGAAGTTATGGAACTTGTGTAACGTTCCACAAATAATCATAAATCTAACCTGAACTTGGGTGTCTGGATTCCAAGCCCAGACCTCTTTCCCGGAGAGCTGCCATTGAAAAAGGGATTTGATAACCAGCCATTGACACTTTTGTGTACTTAACACTTTTACCTAAACATGATCTCCCCCTACCCCAAACCCCACTCCCATATTGCTTTAATTCTTTATTTGCATAAAGTGTTCTATTTCTAAGAGTGGTGAGAAGAGTTGGCCATTGTTTCAGGTAAGGCATTCTGTCTTCCGATTACAAAAACTTACTTAGACTGGCTTTGACCAAAAAAGTGGGGGGGTGCGTAAGGATGCAGGGGCACCTCATGGAGCCCCAGGGCAGGTGCGAAGCTGGCTTCTCCGGAGACTAGAGCTAGGGACCGGGAACTTGTCAGGGCTGAAGCCACTCCTCTCTCTCCATCTCTCCCATGCAGCATGGCCTTTTGCCTGTGCTCTTCTCTGCCTCTTTGCTTCCTCTCTCTCTCTCCAAATGGATTTTTCTGCCCTTGCAAACACCTGCTAATCCTACCAGCTGATGCTACGGAGCACTTAGTATGTGCTAGGCTGTTCAAGTACATTTCTCATATCGACTCATTTATTCTTCACAACAGCAAGTGAAGCAGGGCTGTAATGAACCCCATTTTACAGATGAGAAGAGCGAGGCACAGAGAAGTGAAGTAACTTGTATGAGGTCGCACAGTCCTAAGTGGCCGACCCGAGCAGTCTGGCTCCAGGACCTGTTTTTAGCCACTGTGCTACACTGCTTCCATAGCCTAATACAGGGCCCCAACCCAGCTTTTCATACTTGATAGTTCAGTATGGCCCAGCAGCGACTGTCTTGCATATGTAACCCTGTTCCAAACCCCCTGCAGAGGGGCTCTGATCCAGGTATCCACCTTTCCCTCAGTTCCCAGTGCACTGGCATTCCCAGTCCATTCAGCTGCACTCAAAGGGAAGGGTTATATGGTAGAAAGGTGACTGCCAGGTAGGATGGCTACTCTGCCAGTTTTTCAGAGAGGCTGCCCAGGATGCAAGACGTTCATTGCTAAAAGCAGACAGTCCCAGGTACATCAGGATGGTTGGTTACCCACACAGGTGGTTCTCAGAGAAATGAGCTGTTAAACAAGAAAGTACTCCAAAAGGTGATGATTTCATAGTATCATTATATTTTTATAATATAAAGATAATATAGAATATAAATAATAAAATACAAAAATGTTTAAATGTAGTATAAAATTAAATCACAATTATATATTTATCATTTTTGTAACTGAAAAACTTTCAGCAGCCCCCAGCTACTCATAAGCTCCTTTGAAAGCCTGTGTACCTCGGACGTGAGGTTTCTGGGGGTGCGCTGTAAATTCTCCATTCATCTCCACTTGCTCACCTGGCGAATGTGGACTGCTGTACTCACCGTGTTAGCTGGCAGCGTGAAGTTCAGTGAAAAGCTCTGCAAGAGAGAAAGAAACATTAAATCTCCTGGAAATGGTCAGCAAGCTCCTGACCCCTTCCTCAAGGTCATTTACCCTGTGGATTCCAAGGACATTATTGACCCTCTAGGTTCAGCTGGTCCCTGCCTAAGCTCCCAGCTTGGCCCCTAAAGAGGAGGGGAGCAGAGGAGCCTGAGGTCACAAGTCCCTCCCTCAGCATCACAGTCTTGTCCCCACTCCCCAGGTCCTCAACCAGGGCCAGATGAAGGGGCAACAGCGAGGCCATTTCCTGAGGGGCTTGATCTACAAGGGCAGTAAAAAAACTTGAGTAGAAATTCAGCAAAGTGCTGAAATGGAGTTTTCCCAGAACTCCTTTCAGGGACAGAACTGTGTGAATTTGGAAGTACTTTGTATTTCCTTTTTTTTTTTTTTTTGTCCTTTTTGAGATCAGCCGCACCGCGCTCAGCCAGTGAGCGTTGTGAGCGCACTGGTCATCCCTATATAGGATCCGAACCCGCGGCGGGAGCGATGCTGCGCTCCCAGCGCCCTCCCGAGTGCGCCACGGCCCGGCCCAGTACTTTGTATTTTCTGCTCAGAGCAGAAGGTAAGACCCCCAAAGGCCATGGTCTAACAAGACACTTGATCCTTAAACCAACTTCCAGGGGAGTTCAGCAGAGGAAGACAAGGCTTCTGAGCCTGAGCCAGAGGTTCTGGGCTGCTGGAGCTGAGCCGGTAAGGATGGCAGAGGAGACGCTAACCCTTCTCCCCCACCCCTCATTCAGCACTCGTCTGACCTCTCCCCCAAACGTGGAGTCAATATTTAAAGAAGGTGGGCCCGATGGGGCACCAAAGAGCCTGCCCAGGGCCTCCGGTTGCCCCTTTCTCCTCCCTGTCCCCATCCCCTGCCACTGTAGTTAGGGCCCATCACTACCAGTCTTTCCAGGTTGCTCTTTACCAGGTCCTTCCCTGCTTGGATGGGAGCGATGGGTGGACCCTGCTCTGACTCAGCTGGTGACACTTTCCACCCTCACTCCCCTGGGCTAAAGGAGTCTTGTTTCCACTAACTGGACTCCCAGCCCCTTGGGTCCAGCCATCCCTGATTAATCAGCCCCAGACTCCCTGAGCCCCAGGGCTCGGCCTGCACTCCAGCTCCTGATCTTCCCACAGCCTCCCAGACCAGGCTCTGTCATTCTAGAAACAATGCGTTTGCTACATTTTAAAATTAAATATTATCCAACAATAGGAATATTGTAAAGGATTAAAGAATCCAAAGGAATCATAACATTTCAGACCAAAGTGCCTCAAAGATCATCAACCTCAAAACCCTCATTTCACAAAAGAGGAAACTAAGACCCAGGGACTCATCAGAGATTACCTCATGGATAAGTGAGAACAGTTAGAGCCCATCTCTTAAAACAGGCCAAACAGGGCTCTGTCCATGTGACTCAAATCCAGCCTGAAAATCCTCAAATCCAGGGGAGACAGTCCCAATATATGCAAAATTGATCAAACACCTCTTTTAGCTAACTTACTGTGGGCTGGAATTCAGATGGGTTAATGAATGAGAAAATCTTCTGGGAACCAGAAGTAGTGCTTAAAGACCTACAGGATATACTTCTCCCTAGCTCCTGCCCCAAAGGTAATTTCCTCCAACTAAAATGCCCACCGCCCCCCACCCCCACTAACAAGCTCCAATGGTGACTTGCTCACTTCTCTGTCTCTTGGCAATAGGGCACCCTCAGTTTACAGAGAAGGAAACCAAGGCCCAAGAATGTCAAGGGCTTGCCCAAGTCCACACAACCGGTTAGCTGTCCCCAGAACCTCTTAGGTCAGTGTCACCTTGTTCAAGGGAATTAACCACTGCCCTTCCTGCTAACACCACCCAAGGCGCCAGGTGCTGCAAGGACACCTGATGGTCATTGCACTGAACGCAGCTTCCCAGAGCCTCGTCACATCAGTGAGCACTGGATACTGACATCAGCGAGCCCAGGACAAAGCTTCCTTTGGGGGACAGAGAAAAGAGCA